AGGGATGAAACTACTAAAAAAAATAAAAAATGAGTTAATATAAAATCTGAACAAATTATAGCATTTAGAATATTTTTGGCATATAAAAGAAAATTTGAATTTTTTTAGTAGTTTCGTCCCTTTTTACTGCAAAGCGCCCAAATAATACTTTATTAATAATATAAATAAATACAATAATATGTTTGGTGCACATTTAAGCACATCTAAGCATATTTAAGTATGTCTGAAATGTGTAACAGATTACGCTAAAATTGGTGACAAATAACAGGTGACAAATAAGTTTTGGACTAAAAAAACCAAGTCCTTTAGATAAATAGTGTTTTTGAACCTCAGGCTTATACGTGATCATGTGACGCTAAAAACTGCTAACCATCACTCCTTACTCTAAAGCTAATATATTTGGCGTAATCTGTCATACATTTTGGACCAGCCACATGTAAAATCTGTAACAGGTTACGCCGAATACAGTACTTAGCAATCAATTGGAATTGACAATTAAACTGACTGTTGTGTCAGTACTTTATTTTTTGTTGCCTTTTTTAATAAAATAGTTTATTTTTAATAATTACATTTTTAATGGTTATTTTTCTTTGGATTTTTAAGAAAAAATAGTACTTTTTTTTGTCTTTTTACTGGTTTTTTTTTATTCTCAAAAAATAGTTTTTATTATAAGTAGAAACAAAATTTTTAATGTAAAATAAAAATATAAGAAAAGTTCTTTACTACAACTTGCAGTATAAATAAAGAAATAATATCTTATGGTTACAAATTATTTCTTTGCAATATATAAAGCATTATAATGCTATTAAAAAAAATATCTTTAATTTGGTCTAAAGCTGTCTCTTATACACATCTAGATGTGTATAAGAGACAGATTCTAAGACTCATTTAATATTTAAAAAATTTTTTTTTTTATAATAACTTTCATAAAATTGTCCATTTTTTGCATTTTTCAAAACATATTATTAATTCTTATTTATCTTGCTGTAGACAAAATAGGAACTTTTATATTCAAACAAATTGTAAGCATATGTATTATTGATTTTTACACAAAAAAGATTTAGAAGCTATTGTATAAAGTGAGATTCCACAACAGATATTATCAGTATTGCTAAGAATAATATTTATTGTATTTTAGCTTAAAAGAAATATTTATAAAATTTATCAAATTATTGTATTAATAAAACCAAATAAAATTTTTTTAATGTTCGTCCCAGGTCCTACTACGTCATATGTAATAATTTGTGTAACAAAAGTACCTTAAAATAAACATGTTAATTAGAGGGTGAACAAATTTGCTGATATGCTTACCATTATATTATTGTATAAGTGAATTTGTAGATAAAGAAGCCAGACTGTTTGGTTTTAAGTTTGGTAAGAAAATAGCGCAAACTGACTAAGTTAGCTTAAGTAATGAGCAACTCTAAGGTATAATGAGCAACTTGCAACTGAACTTTTGACAAGTAAAACTTTTTGAAAATAAAGTATATACTAAAAAAACTAATTAAACCAGGTATAACAATTCTTTAAAAATATGGAAATAAAAAATTTAAACAATAATAATATGTTTCTTTAGTGGCTTGGCTTTGTCACACTTTTTTTTAATCAATAAAATTGACTTGGGTCATAATCAACATTATGTTACATATGTGTAACCATATGATCAAAAGACCCTACCCTTAAGTATTTAACTGATCACCAAAGATTTTTTTTAAATTAATTTTTGAGTATTTTTTAATTTTAATTTTTTTTATAGTAAAGAATAGCGCATCTATTTTTAAATGTTCGCAAACCCCATATTGGTTGAAATAAAAACTTTCAGTTATGTGACAAATCAGCTGATCTGTCACACATTTTGGCCAAATTTCAGAAATTATTAAAAATTGGCCAAATTTTGACATATATGATTTATAGTCAATTTATTGAATTATTTAATCAAACATTATATGTTACGTATTACGCATATTAAAAGTTTAAAAAAGGATCATCTTATACATTTTTTTTAAACTTTTTTTAATTTTTTTCTTCTCCTCCCCTTTCCTTTCCTTTGTTCTCCTTCCCTGTTTCCTTTTCTTTTCCTTTCCCTTTTTTTGTTTTCCTTTTCCTTTCTTCCCTTTTCCTTCCTTTCCCTTTCCCCTTCCCCCTTTCACTTTTTTTACTTTTTTTTATAGGTTCAGCTTTCAGGTGGGCTTCTGAAGTACAGAAACTCCAAAGATTCGTAAGTACGAATTTTTTGAAGTTTATTTTATTTTTTTTAATATGAACGGTTACTAACCGTTCTTTTTCTTACTTTTTTTTATAGGTTCAGCTTTCAGATGGGCTTCTGAAGTACAGAAACTCTAAAGATTCGTAAGTACGAATACTTTGGAGTTTATTTTTTTTTTTAATATGAACGATTACTAACTATTCTTTTTTCTTCCTTTTTTTTAGGTTTGGCGTCTTAGATAAGGCTTCTGAGTTCTGAAGAACGAAAAAAACCAAGATTTGTAAGTATATATGAATTTTGGTTTTAGACACAGTTTTTTTTTTGTGAAACAAGTATTTTAGATTTTTTGTTTTTTTAATTTTATTAATGAACGGTTACTAATAACCATTCCTTTCTTTATTTTTTAGGTACAGTGGACTTCTGAAGAACGAAAACCCAAAGATTTGTAAGTACTAGTACGAATCTTTACTTTTTTTTCTTTTTTTTTAATTTTATTAATGAACGGTTACTAATAACCGTTCTTTTCTTTTTTATAGATTTAGGTAGACTTCTATAGAATGAAAAAAGGAGAACCTTTAAGATTCATAAGTAATATACTTACAAATCTTTTTTTTAATGTTATGGAACGGTTACTAACCATTCCTTTGAATTTTTTTTATAGGTTCAGGTGGATTTCTGTCTTTTCAAGGAATGGAAAAAACTAAAAATTCGGTATGAATCTTTATTTTTTTATTTTTGTTTATTATTATGAACAGTTTCTAATCGTTCTTTTTTTTTTTAGGTTAGTATTTTTCGAAGAATGAAAAAAACCAAAATTCGTAAATACGAATCTTGGTTTTATTTTTATTTTTTTTTTTATAATATTAATGAACAGTTACTGATAACATTTTTTTTTTTATTTTTTTAGGTTCAGTAGGCTTCTGAGTTCCAAAGAACAACAGAAAACTAAGATTCATAAGTAAGTACGAATCTTGGTTCTTTTTTTATTTTTTATTTTTATTTCATTTTTATTACTACGAATGGTTTACTAATAATCATTCTTTTCTTTTTGTAGGTTTTGGGATCTTTAGAAAAAGTGGAACCAAGATTCGTAAGTACAAATCTTGGTTTATTTTTTATTTTTTTTAATATTATTAGAATTCACCTGTTAACTATGTTAACAGTTAATGTTTAAATATATCTATATTAAATTATAATAAAAAATTTTTATTGAAAAATTTCTGGATAAACAACATTATAAGTATAATTAATTAAATTTGCATTATCTCCTAATTGTTTAATAATAAGAATTTTTAAATTTTTTCTTAATATTATTCTTGAACATGTAACATATACACAGGTCGAAATATAATATACCGGTCATCAATCGGTCATATAACTGATTGGTACCTGATTGGTAGCTGATCTGTTACTGATTCATTCATTCAGA